CACACACACACACACACACACACACACACACACACACACACACACACACACACACACACACACACACACTTGATGAGTAGTATTTCTAGCCAAAACGAGCCGAACACAAACGAACACATCTTAGTTCGTGTTTGGCTCATTAACTTATCGAACGAAATTAACGAGCCGAACACAAGCTTCTTAATGAGCCGAACATGAGCTGTTCGCAAACAACGAGTCATTTTGACAGCCCTATGTAAGATAGCTTCAAAGCTTAGCAGCCCAATTCACAACTTTATTACCTCATCTTTTGGCATGAGTCCAACATATACATAAATCCTTGGCTAAATCAACAATCTTCTTCATCTGAATGCTATACTTCCAAAGCAATGGAGAATCTGTTTCTAAAATTTAATATTGTGTTGCTAATTATCTTTAATTATTTTGAACTTAATGGTATAAATTTTATATTTTTTATATATTTTGAAAAGTTAATAAAATGTTCTACAATTTTTTATGTTACTAACTTTATTCAATTATTTATATAAGCGATTCAAAAATATTAAATTTCTGCAACATTTATTGTTCCGTATCTACACATGTTAAATGGAATAAATTCATCATCTCATAATTTACACTCATAATATTTTAGTAGAATGCTTCTTTTTATTAATATATGCATATAAATATGATTAAATTATTATTATTAGCTATTAAATGATATATTTGATGTGATAAATGAGTATTGGTCATCCATATAAAATACAAAAAGTGAACTAATCTGAGCGTACAAAGAAATCATAATTAATTGATTTAAACTGTATGGTAAGAATTAGCATAACTCATCTTTCATATCCCTTTAGGCTATGATATAAATCTAAACATTCAATTCAAAGGACAATTAAGGGTGTAAGTAAGTCTAGCTAGGTTGTAAGCTGGCTCGAACTCGACTAATTAAAGAGTTTGCAAATCGAGTTTATCGAGCCAAGAGCTCGAGCTTAAGCTTAGGTTTGAGCATGTATACTCGGTTTGGGAAAACATCGACTCAACTGGATTATATTATTTAATTTTTTAAATAATCTTAATTTTTGTATAGTAGATAAAGTTTTTTTACAAAAGCACAAATTTTTAAAATACCTCTTGATGTGTGCTAGAAAATTAGCGGAAGTAGAAAAACAAATTATCGTCTTAGCGTAATAAGAAGATTCAACACACTCAGAAAATAGAAAAAAACTAACAATGACACAAGCAATTTTTACGTGGAAAATTCAAAAGGGAAAACCACGATGCATGACCCAGCTGAAGATTTCCATTATAAAAGGTGATTACAGTTGCAACCATCTCTCCCACAGACAGAGATGGGTTACTAGGTTTCCTAAGTTGCAAATTCAACGTGCTAATAAATTTATTATTAAAAAAGGGCGGTGACCGATAACGATTGGCGGAATCTGATTGGTGGTGGTTGATGGAGGCTGATAATGATCGACGAAGATTGGCGGTATCGACGACAGTCGACGGTGGTTGACGGAGGTGAGTGGTGGCCGATAGCGGTTGGCGGTGGTAGTGTTGGTTTTCAGTTCATTCTCAAAATTTCAAACTCTTCTTCAAGCCTCAAACTCCTCTACTTTTTTTCTTATGAGAGGGTTGGGCTCTATTTATAGAGTTTCAGGTGCAATTAATGCAAGAAAACAAATCTCTTTAATCAGACATCTAGAGAGCTTCATTTGATCAGACGAAGTTTGATTGACATTTCAGTGTCTTAGCGATGTAATAACCAGGACTTATATTATTGTGATAATCACTGGGGTGGATCAGTAGCATTAGAGAAAACCAATCTAAATATACTTTGATGAGCTCTTGGGTGGGGGGGGGATCAGTCTATTATTGAGATGTAGGTTAGTTTATGGGAATGAGTTTGGGAAATGGAAGAATAGCCTCAAACCTAGAGTTTATAAGCTTCAATGCTTGTGAGAGAAGGCAAACTTGAGAAGGGATATAGCTGTTTTAATTGAATGGAAGAAGGTGGGTGATGGAGATTTATTTTGAAAGCTTTATAGAATGCCATGGAGAATTAATTATGAAAAAATTATTACAAAAAGAAAAAAAAAAAACATATACATAAACTTCATCGAAGGATTGAGGTGGTCTCAGGCCAATAAGTCTGTTACATTTTCTCCTAACTTTATGACATTACATAACATTTTCTTAAATGCATTTCAAAATGAGAAATGGGAGAGAGGTCAGTGATTCAACTGAGGTAGAGGGGAAAACGATACTTTGATTTTAGATGGTGTTGGTGGATGTTAATTGGCATTTCAACCATAAAGTTTGGCTTCTTTGGATGTGCTTTGCCATGGAAAAATGAATCGTGGACATGTCTTGCATGATTTTATGCATAAGAAAGTCCATCTTCTTACCTCCTTGATTTTACATTCACCTTGTGCCATATCCATGTAGTAGGCTTATTTTTTGTCTGTGATAAAATATAATAATCGATAAAACCCATTAACTCATCAACTTAATGAATTACTAATAATAATTAAATTCTTGAGTTATAATAATATTTATTCATCACAAACATTAAAGCAATTATTATCATTAATGCAATATTTAAAATTTAAAACCCAAAATGGACAAGTCAGATTCACACAGAAATTAAAAATACAAATATAGTAAATATCTTAATAATCATGGGTCATTTAAACGTATGCCATATCATATATATATATATATATATATATATATTATGGCGGGTGCGCTCGGCTACGGATGCCCCCTTCGGTGATTCCATGGCAATTTGCTTAGTTCCTGATACTTGTTTCAACTTCCAGTGATGGCATTGGATCAAACCTTCATTGAAGCTATAGTTGATGTTCATCCTTCTGCAACTTTAAAATATTGTACGTTCCCGCAATATTTCCACGATGCTTTATCAACAGGTGGTGATTTTATTTTCATAAAAAAAAATAGGCCAAAAAAATGGAAGCCCGCTATGTTTTCTTATAAATTAAATCCAAATTCATTTCTCTTGTCTTTTAACCTTGGTTGGGAGGTTTCTTTCTGGCCATCCTAGGCATGATATTAATCACAACGAATTTAAGCTTATGCATCATCTTAAGGAGTGGAAAATTGGTCTCTTAGATTGGTGGCACATGCTTATGCAACTTAAAAATGATGAGGATTACACATGCTTGCTTGCAAGGAGAATAAATTGGATTGATAACCGCGTGATAAAAATTCTAAAGTGGATTGTGGAGTTTCACCCACAGACTGAACCACCAACCATTCTTGTTTGGATTTG